TGAGGCACTGGGGCTCAGGATGTCGACATACAAATTGTAGGGGGACAAAATTCATCCCATAGCACCGTCCTTCCAAGGAACTAGCAAGATCCACGTGTGACAATGCAACCTCATCTCAGAAAACAATGTTGAGTTGAGAGAGTGTGATACATAATGGTACATATCATATGATACCACTCCTCACTTACAAAACACACACGTGAACCGACACAAATATCTCCTGCATGTGTGTCAACATTTAATGTTCTGGAAGGATCATTCAGATGCATTAGAAGTTGCCTCTCAAGGGGCGCCTGGGTGGCGCAGTCGGTTAAGCGTCCGACTTCAGCCAGGTCACGATCTCACGGTCTGTGAGTTCGAGCCCCGCGTCAGGCTCTGGGCTGATGGCTCAGAGCCTGGAGCCTGTTTCCGATTCTGTGTCTCCCTCTCTCTCTGTCCCTCCCCCGTTCATGCTCTGTCTCTCTCTGTCCCAAAAATAAATAAACGTTGAAAAAAAAATTAAAAAAAAAAAAAGAAGTTGCCTCTCTGTTAGTCAAACATGACTTCAGTTGTAGTATTTTATTTCCTTAAGAAATATTGCCAACAAATACAGTGAAATGGGAATGGTTTCTAATTCTGAGTAGCAGAATATGAGAGTTTAGTTACAATATTCTTTGACTTTTCTGTATCTCTTGTATTTTTAAAGCAGTTTAAAAAATCAAAAATGGATGACCAACTCATCCATCCTTCAAGATACTTTGAATGTATTTTTGCGTGAAGTGAAGACCATGAAGGAGCCGCACATTAAGACTTCTTTCCACCTCTGCCTTTCTAGAAAAACATTGCTCTTTCTCGCTGCATTTTGAGGCCACACAACTACAGGACGCTTTAGGGATCAGCTCTATGGGCTTCCTTTTGAATTTGGTATAGGAAGGTGGTCGATGATCTTGTCTACTATCTCACACTATTTATCCCTTGTGAGGACTAATTTATTCTGGAGATATTTTTCTGAGCTGACTAAAATCCTTTTAGATTGAAGAGGGGCATAAATAAATAAATGAGTATAATATCAAATGCAATAAACATTTCTCTGCTGGTGAATAACAGGCTTGTCCCTTTAGAAGGATGAAAGCAACCTTTACTGAACTCCTACCATGTGCCAAGCACTCTGCTGGAGGCTTTAAATAATCGTCATTTAAATATTAATTTTTATGACCTTAGGAAGCAGGTTATGAGGAACGATGAGTTTAAGTAACTTGTCCAAAGTCATAGTGAGTGACTAAACCAGACTAATTTCAAACTGTAATAGAATATTTTGAGGAAAAACTATTTGGAAAGCCAAGGCATTTCATGATTGTAGAGGGGATGGAAGAGGTAGGAGACAATTTCATGTTAACTCATGGAGACTCTATTTCTAGTGCAACAGTCCAACGGTCCTATGATCCCAAGATTTGTTATCCCAGTATTGACATGAGGCAACTGAAGTTCAAAAAAGTTACATATATCAAAATGCTCAAGGTGACATAACAAATGAATCGATGAGATAGGTCTATTTTGCAGATTAAGAGCAAAGGTTCAAGGTGAGGATCGTCCATGGGAAATGCTTATGCTGGCCCTACTTCCTTTGTCCCATTCATTTGGTCACCTGGGGCTGCCATAATAAAGTACCACAGACCGGAGGGCTTAAACAGCAGAAATCTGTTGTCTCCCAGATCTGGAGAGTAGAAGTCTGAAGTCAACAGATATTGGCAGGATTCGTTTCTTCTGAAACCTCTCTCCTTGGCTTGTAGACGGTTGCTTTCTGCCTGTGTCGTCACATGATCTTTCCTCTGTGTATGTGCCTATGTCTGGATCTCCTCTTCTTATAAGAGCACCAGTCATATTGGATTAGGGCCCATACTGATGACCCCCTTTTAACTTAATTACTTCTGTAAACACCCTATCTCCATTATGTGAGGGTGATCTGGCCGTGACATCTGTCACCCCTCTGATGACCAGGTTTGATTCGGCTGATCTGGCTGGCTAGGCAGGTGTCCTCCTCCTTCCTCACCACACCCTGTGCGCTTGGTCCAAGAGAACGACCTTCCCCAGTAGAGGAGAATTGTTCTTCGGTCACGGGTATACAGGTAGCTGCACAACCCTGCTAGAATCTCCAAGCAGGCTCTCCAGGTCCATTTGTAGGAGAAGGAAGGGAAATCAAGCTCCCAAGACTCCACACACATCCAGACACTGCATGTAGCAGTCTGCTTTTCTAAAAAAAAAAAGAAAAAAAGAAAAAAAAAAACCCTACCTCCAAACACAGTCATATTCTTAGGCATCTGGGTTTAGGGCTTCAATATATGCATTTCAGGGGACCACAATTCAGCTCATAATACCCATGATTCATGGTTAGGCTCACTCCATGCTACTGAAGAACAGGATATTTTTAGGAAGCTTCTATGGTCTGGAGAGCTGGTAGTCCAAAAATGAATGAATGAATGAATGAATGAATGAATAAATAAATGGAAGGAAGGAAGGAAGGAAGGAAGGAAGGAAGGAAGGAAGGAAGGAAGGAGAAAAAAAAAAGAGCCCTACGTTTAAATCTCTAGAGGGATGATGATTAGGGCAAAAGCTGCCCTTTTCTTAATGAATAATTCCTTATGAACTGGTCTAATTTCATTTGATTCACATTGCGTCTTCCTTTAGTTATTCCACTGTTAATGTGTTCAAACACAGCTGAGAAGAGAGAAACCATTTCTTCTCTGCGTGAACGAACTCCTCTAATACCCAGATGAAAGCACCTTGGGGTTCCCGCCCAAATTTACCACCAGACTTGAAAGGGTAAAGCAAACGTCTGCTTGGATTGGGGATTCTCTTTGTTAGCATTTCCAAAACGGTCTTTTTGGGAAGGGGCAGTGGTCTCCCCAAACCCCTCGAAATGACCGATTTTTCCCCGGGAGAGAAGTCTTCCAGGAAATCTCCTCTTACCTTGCCCAACCGTCGAGTGATTTGGCAATTGTCTGCAAAGGATAAGAGTTTTTCTGACAAGTGATCTGTATCTGTTTTGAGATCATCCACAAGGAAAGGAAATCTTGCCCCCACTGTCTTATTTTTAAAAATCTCCATTGCAGAAATGACACGTGGCTCGGGACACTGTTTTCCTCATTTTTATTGACTTTCTCTCGGCGTGTATTGAGCCTCACAGCTTTAATTATCACTTATATACAGATGATATTCAAATTTACACTTCATTTCCAGCCCCTTCAGATGATGTCACCCTTCGCCTCGCCCCAGACTTGGCTCATGTCTTGTCTTGGATGAGCCACAATTTTCTCTGATTGAATATGGATGAGACAGAGGCTTTGCAGTTTTGTTGTAAATAAACTCTAAATGCATTGAAGTTAATTTACCTCATTGATAGCCCAGTCTTCCAGTTAAGAGCCAGGGGGTTCAGTGACTGACTCTGAATTATCCTCCTTCATTCATCAGAGACTACTCGGCCAAGGGATTAATCTCCACAAAATATCCCAGAGACATGTGACAGTTTCCATCACTCCTAATTTTGGCCAGAATTCTGGTTATCTCACGGCTGAAATTCTGCCATGATCTTTGGAAAGGCGTCCAACAAACCTCCTGTTTACGGTCTATTTGGAATATGGCTGCCCTTTGGCCTTGCTCTGTGTACACAATCCCAGGATACATTTTCCTTCAGGCAGCTGTGCTAGCTTCTTGTGCACTGAATAAAATGTAATTTGTCGAGATCTTGGCCAGATTGTCTGCCTTCACATAAACTAGCTTTTGAAATGACTTAAAATTACGGTCTCGCTTTTTCAAGAGTCGCTTGCTATTTTGTTTCATCATGTGGTTGGAGATGTACCATGCATAGCACCCCGACACTCTCTAGAACATGCTAGCTTGAACAAAAATGTGTATTTGAAAACACCAGGAATGAGCATTAGCCTATGAAGGCCTGGCACGTAATAAGCCATAAGTCCCCGATAAATACTCGACGGAATAAAGACCGAGTGAATGAATTTGTAATCCTTTGACCCATTTGTGGGTGGTTTTTTGCTGCTGTAGTTATGTATAATATATTTTTATCTACTTTTAGATTATTATGTAACTGTGCCTGTGTAATTATTATTTCAACTAGAACATATTCGAAATCTCCATTAACATGACTGAAGGGTATAAAATAGAATCCTTGGAGTTGTCAATTAGCTGATTTGTCTTGTGTTGCTTTTCTTCATTATTTCAGTGCAGCTAACGGTTCATTCAGCACATTTTAATTAAAAACAAACATATGTGGGTCTGCTAAGAACTCAAGTGTAGTGCAGTTAGACAGGGATGGCAAATATTTCTAGCAGTGACCATATGATATCTTCCATTCATCTCAGCAATAATCTTCCAAATCTAATTATTGGGAGGACGGCAGCTGCAGCCAGTTAGGCTTTTCTTTATTTTTACAGAGATGTGGGTTTTTTTTTCAGCCCGTTGCGTTGTAGAACATCAGCTGCTGCCGGAGTCCCTTCCAAGGCTGACATCCCAGCATCTACAAGACTTTCCTCCATCGAGACACTTCCCATTTGTTCCTGTCCACGTGCCTTCTGGCCTAAAGATGTTCCAGGGAAATGGCTAGCCCTCCGACAAGATCTCTTTCGCTTTGTACGGATATGTTAGGTCTATTACTGTGACCCGAAGGTTCTAACCATGGAGGATGTGTCACCAGGGAAGCCTCGGCAATAGATACGGCGTCACCTACATGAGAGCCGCCGCGTGCCAGGGGCTGGTCTGGAGCTTTGCAGACTCAAGCATGATTCCGTCAGCTTAGTCGCTGACTGAGGGCGCAGAGGAGAACGTATTCATTTAAAATGAGAATGATAACGGGGCGCCCGAGTGGCTCAGTCAGTTAAGTGTCTGACTCTTGATTTGGGCTCAGGTCATGACCGGAGAGTTCAAGCCCCTCATAGAGCTCTTTGCTGGGTGTGGAGCCCGCTTGAGATCGTCTCTCTCCTCTCTCTGTCTTTCCCACGCTTGTGCATGCTCTCTGTCTCTCAAGATAAATAGATAGATAGATAGATAGATAGATAGATAGATAGATAAGAATTATAACAATTAAGAAATATTCACTCCTATGGAGTGTCCCTCTAGTGTAATAATTGAGAACGGGGACTCTGGAGTCAGACTGCTGGAGGTCTAAAACTGTTTGTGCTGCCCACTAGCTGTGTGACCAGGGGGACATTGCTCAACTTCGCTGTGTGTGGCAGACTGACTTTAGGGTGGCCCCACGATCTCTGCTCCTAGGAGTCACGACCCTGTGTCATTCCCCTCCCCGCAAGTGTGGGTGGGACCCGTGATGTGCTTCTAACCAATGGAAGGTGGCAAAGGTAATGAATGGGATGTACATGATGAAGTTTATGTGATTATGTAAGAGCACAGCACCCATTCTGCTAGAGTCTCTCTCTGTCTCTCTGTCTCTCTCTCTCTCTCCTGGGACCTGTGCTTTTGGGGTGCTGAGATGCCACGTAAAAAGTCCAGCTACTCTGAAGCCACCATAGTGGAATGACCACATAGAGAGACCTCATCGAAATAGAGAAAGATGTCCAGGGAACCATCTGTCTTCCAGCCCTAGCTTCCAGCTCTTTGGATCTCTCCAGTCCGGGCCCCGAACAAGTGTGTGAAGTGGACTTCCAGATGATTCCAGCTCCACTCACATGCTGATTGCAACTGTAAAGAGATCCTGGTGAGAATCGCCCGGCGGAGCTCAGTCAACTCCCAGAACTGTGTGAGAGAAAAAGAAATGATGATTATTGTTTTAAGCCACGGTTTCAAGGTAGCTTTTAAAAAGATACACGTACCAAAACTCACATTAGAGTGTGTCTATGTGTGTGTGTGCGTGTGTGTGTCTATATAATCATACAGACGTATATTCTGTTTGACACACATATAGTCACACAGCTTGGTAACAAAAGGTATCAATGCTATTGTCACATTTACGATTATATCGCAGACGCTTGCCATCCTACAGTCAGCACACATGGTTTTGGTTATTTTGCAACTCCAGGATCCACGATGTGTGGTCATTTGTAATTTTGCTGAGCCATGAATTTGAGACTCAGGTTTGTGAGGGAGAGCATTTCTCACTGGTGAATGGTGCTAGCTAATTACCAGCACAAACAGGATTTTGTTTTCTGCTGGTCGTTCTTACGCAATACATCTTATGATGTGAGTTTTAAAACATGCTTTGGTGAAACAAAAGGCCCTGAAACATCTCTTAGTGGTGAAAATGAGGAAACAAAGAGGCCTGAGAGATCTACCCGCACCCCAGTAACAAGAATTTCGAAGAGTGGAGTGTCAAAGGTGACGGCAGTGTGGCTTATGATACGAAAGCAGTTGGAGGGGAGCAGGCCCCAAACCAGGAGCATAATGGATTAAGCCATTTTGGTGAGAAGTCTGATCAGAACATCGTAGTTTACAAAGTCATTAGAAGCCTGAAATCATCGTTCGTATTTTTCAGTTAAAATATAGTGCCTTTGGGGAGGAAATTATATGCTGTTTATATTCACCAGTTTGTGGGATATTTGAAGGCGTAGGGACATGTGTGTCCAGAATTTCAACAGAATGTAGTCCTGAAACTTCATATGTGACAGGCTTGTGCAGCGTTGAGGAAAGTGTAAGTCATGGTCCTTGTCCTTGAGACCCATACAGTTTAACCAGGTGATGGGTGAGGAGAGAAGAGGGGAAATAAGCTAACAATGTCAAGTTAAATATGATCATTCTCATGTATGCTGGTGAATGTCACCCATGCTAAGGTGGCATAGAGAATAGGGGCTTTTAGTTCAGAGGAGAAAGACGGAGAACTTTAGATCTCTCATAGGATAAAGTCCAAGCTCCTCGGCCTGGCATTCAAGGCCTTCCATAATCTCTCCCCAACCTTATCTCCGACTTTCTCTCTTAATATCCGCCATATAAAACAGCCGTCAAGTCAGTTTGGCTGATTCATTAAGAAATACACCTTGGGGCGCCTGGGTAGCGCAGTCGGTTAAGCGTCCGACTTCGGCCAGGTCACGATCTCGCGGTCCGGGAGTTCGAGCCCCGCGTCGGGCTCTGGGCTGATGGCTCCGAGCCTGGAGCCTGTTTCCAATTCTGTGTCTCCCTCTCTCTCTGCCCCTCCCCCGTTCATGCTCTGTCTCTCTCTGTCCCCAAAATAAATAAACGTTGAAAAAAAAAAAGAAAGAAAGAAATACACCTGCATCTGATTTACGCCCTCTTAAGTAGTTTGAAATAAAATAAAAGGGAAATGAGCGGCACACACACATAAAATAATTTTAGAATAGTACAATTTATGTCGCCTGTCAATTTTTTTTTTTTTTTAAACAGAAAACTCCTTAGCAGTACTAAGTGAAAAACCTCTCATGCATGACCTACCCTGCCCCTGCCCCTTCCCCTTCTGGCTGACTGGAGCAGAGTCAAGCCCCAAGGTCACCTTGGAAGCCACATGTTGAAGGTGACAGAGCCTCCAGGTCCCTGAATCGGTGTGTGCAGGAAGGTCACCTAGCAACCGGGAAGGCCCTCGTCATCTCTCACGTAAAGTGAGAAGTAAGCATCTGCTGTCGTTGGCCTTGGCAATCTCGGGTTTGTTTCTTACAGCAGCTAGCTTCTGGGGTAGTCTGCATCGTCTTAAGTGACATGGTCAGTGACTATGAAAGAGTGGGAGAAAGCTATCACTACCAGCGTCAAAACAGAGGTTACCAGGGGTGCCTGGGGAGCTCAGTCGGTTAAGCGTCTGACTTCGGCTCAGGTCATGATCTCATGGGCCGTGACTTCGAGCCCCGCGTCGGGCTCTGTGCTGACAGTTCACAGCCTGGAGCCTGCTTCGGATTCTATGTCTCCCACTCTCTCTGCCCCTCCCCTGCTCATGCTCTCTCAAAAAATGAATAAACGTTAAAAAAATTAAAACAAGCAAACAAACAAAAAAACCCAGAGGTTACCACCTGCACTGAGAAAAGGCTCACAGGACAGTTCCCATCAAGAGTATGGATTCTGGCACCAGACTGCAGTACTGGAAGCCATTTCTACCTTTCACTGGGTATGTAACCTTACGCAAGTAAGTGTGTTAGGTGGGGACATGGGGTTCTCCAGGGAAACAAAACCAATAGGATTTGATGGAGGGAGAGAGAAAGCGAGAGAGAGAGAGAGAGAGATTTATTTTAAGCAATCTGCTTATGTGATCGCGGTGGGTTAGCAAGTCCAAAATCTGATAGGGGAGGCTGGCAGGCTGCAGACACAGGAAAGAATGGCGGTTCAAGTTCAAAGGCAGTCTGCTGGCGGAATTTCTTCTTGCTCTTGGAAAGGTCAGCCTTTTGTTCTATTCAAGCTTTCAGTTGATTGGATAAGGCCTCCCCAGCATCATGGAGGGCAATCTGCTTTACTCAAAGTCCACAGATTTAAATGTAAATCTCATCCAGAAACACCCTCATAGAAACATCCAGAATAATGTTTAACCAACTATGTGGGTTCTGTGGCCCAGCCACTTAGGCCAGTTGGCCCAACCAAATGGACACGTAAAAGTAACCATCATAGGAAGTTACTCAGTCTCTCGGTGCCTCAGTTCCCTCATCTGCAAAATGGGGATAATAAAGAAGCTATCCTATTGGATGAACCTGAAGACCCAGTGAAGAAAGGCCTGTGTTTAGAATAGTGTCTGCACGTAGCACTCTTGACTATTATTAATAATTAGTAGTAGTTACTATTTCCACAGGCTTCAGCCATATGTTTTGCTCTGATGAAAAAGCTAAGAAAATAGTTAAGCAGGGCCACCAAGAATAATGGGTGTTCAGCTGAGAATACCACTGACATGAAGAAAGTCTTTATACATTAGAATTCTTACAGTGTAGAAACTCCAGACTTGTATACCAGCCTTTTGAGGCTGTATTGGCCACTCCTCCATTAGTGAGTGGCTATTTTTTTTCTCGTTGTTATTCCATGAATAAATTTTAATATATTCAATTTCCCCCATAAACTGTTTCTTTACTGCTCACATTAATGCAATATGGTGAAGACATTTGCATGACTAGAATCTTTTGCAATCTGCTGGAGCATTTCTCCTGCTTCGCTTTTCCTTCATTTCTGGTAAGAAAATTCATTTTTGCTTCACATGGTTTTGAATTAGCTGTCACTTCTCAGGAATGCAACGTCAGCATAAATCAAAAAGCTGATGGAGAGTGGAATGATTAAGAATCTGGCTTGGGGTTAGCCAGAATTGGGTGCAAGCCTTTCCAAGCCCTCGCTTCTTCACAAAGGACTATTGTGAGGGTTGAATGTGCAGTGCCCGGCACTCAAGAAGCACTAGGCAATTGGGAACTAGGATGGTTTTTTCCATTAGTAATTCTCCGTGTTGTGACAAGATCCCTCCTTGTGCTGGGGAGACCTAACATCCTGGGGCCTTGAATGACCATGTGGAAGAAATCACCTACCAACCAGGATTACCCCTGTTAATCTATTATATATGCAGGGAGTAAACTCCTATTATCATTAGTTTCCTGGGGCACCTGGGTGGCTGAGTCAGTTAGGCGTCTGACTTCAGCTCAGATCATGATCTCACTGTTCATGAATTTGAGCCCCTCGTCGGGCTCTGTGCTGACAGCTTAGAGCCTGGAGCCTGCTTTGGATTCTCTGTGTGTCTCTCTCTCTGCCCCACCCTCGCTTGTGCTCTGTCTCTCTCTGTCTCTCAAAAATGAGTAAACATTAAAAAAAATTCATTTGGGGTTTCCTTATTATAGCACCCGGTTTGTTGGGCACTATGCCTCACCTTAACCACTCTGGTCGGTTAATATTGCAAGAAGGCTGCCGCCATCCATGATGTTCTCTCCACCTCTGTGGGCTGCAGAAGCCTTGAATTTCTGTAGAAAGTGTCTGCTATGTAGCTTATTTACTCCCCGTATCTACTAGCCAATGACAGTGCCTCTCTTTTTATGGAAATGTCCTGCTTCCCCAGTTGGGCAATATTGTAGGTATTGATTTCAGGGTGCAAGAAATGTGATTTTTTAAATTTAATTTCTTTCTTGAGTTTCCATGCTACTGGCACAGCAGAATAGGAATTCTAGTTAATTTGAGGTTTTCCTAATTTCCTTAGGAGTTGTGTCTAAGTTCTGGGCTGTGGAGCTGAGCTTCTGGTCTTCAAGACCATCGTCTGGTGAGGACATCTTCGTTTCTGCTTGGCATTTCATTGGTAGTTAAGTGTGTAGTTTTCTCTCATTCTTGATTGTAAGGCTTCCCGCCGTTGGTCCCAGCCTCAGCATTTGCATGTTGCTTTCATGTGTGTGACGATAAAGAGGCTTGTGTGAGAGTCCACGGTGTATGGAAAGCCATCTGTGGGGCAATGGGTAGAAGAAGGGACTGAGCACACATAAAAAATCAGTTAATACTTTATAATATTTCAAAAATAGAATTCCACGACAAAAAGAAAGGCCCTCGAGGGCCAGAACTGTATCCTAACCGTATCCTGGTACACTATCCAGCAAATCAAATTTACCTCATTAAATATTTGCTGCTGGCATTAAATGATAAAGGATAGCCAATGGACCATAGAAGCAGAGGGAGGAAATTTGCCCAATCTTTTTGGAAACCAGTAACTTCTGTGGAAAGCTCTGTTATGGCCTGACTACATGTCCCTCCTAGTCTAGTCACACTGGAATAACCAATCTCCTTGTTTTCCTCTTGCCAGAAACAAGTAGACACACTCATAAAACATATGATATAGTTATTTCCAGACCCTGGACAGCAGGCCTATAATCCCTGAGAGAAGAGGAACAAAACAAGGGGGAAAGAACTATCGGGGAGCTATAAACTGAACGTTTCTCAGCATTCGCAATTATCTGGGAGACAATGATCTGAGTTCCATCTAGTCAAGGTGGAGAAAGCTCACTGACCACTCTCTTTGTTTTCTATGGCTACTGTAAAAAAGTGTTATACATTGAGTGACTTCAAACAGCATAAATTCATTATCTTACAGTTCTGTAAGTCAGAAGTCTGATGCAGATCTCACTGGCATAAAATCAAAGTGTTGGCATGGTGCATTCCTCTCTGGAGGATCTAAGGAAGAATTCACATCTTTGCGTCTTTCACCTGCTTCAGCCCACCTGCTTTCCTTGATTCACAGCCCCCTTTTTCCACCTCCAAAGTCAACAACACTGAGCTGAATCCTCACACTCTCTCCCTCTCTAGTTCTGTCCTCTGCCTCCCTCTTCAGTGTTTAAAAACTGTTGGATAAGCCAAGACAATCTTCCCATTTTAAAGTCAGCTGGTTAGGAAACTTAATTCTGGCTGCTCCCTTAATTCCCCCCTTGTCATGTATCCTAATATATTCCCGGGTTCCAGGGATCAAGATGTGGACATTTCAGGAGGGCTTTATTCTGCTTACTGCAACCACCGAGGGACTTATTAGAGACCTCAGAAGTCATGCCATAGTACTAGAGATAAACTAGCTCTAAGGTAATGGATACTTTAGATCCAACCTAACAAAGCTGTAAAATAAGTTAAAATGAATTAAGTTAATCTACAAGTAAATTAACACTTGCCAAAATAAATTCCAAACCTCTTTAAAGAAAGACAACACGATCCAGACACAAAATAGTGAGATGTTTATAATCACAATCAAAAGTTACTAGACATTCAAAGAAGCAGGAAGAGATGATTCATAACCAGAGGAAAAATAATCAATAGGAACAGACCCCGAAATGATAGCAATGATAGAATTATCAAACAAGGACTTTAAAATAGTTCTTATAAATACAGTCAAGAGGAAGTGAAATGAGGTAAGAAATGCAAACTATATAAAAGATGAATAGAATTTCAGTGGAACCAAATGAAATGACAAATTCAATGGATAAGTTTAATAAGGGATTGGACACTGCAGAAGAAAAGATCAGTGAACTTGAAGAAACAATAAAAGAAACTAGACTGAAACACAGAGGAAAAAATAATCTGAAAAAAATAAAAATAACGTTAGTGACCTGCAGGGTAAGATCAATAGTGAAATGGGAGCCCTAGAAAAGGGGCAACAGAAAATCTACTGGAAGAAATAATGGCCAAAAGTTACTCAAATTTAATAAGTAGAAACATAGGTCAAAGGGGGTCAATAAATACTAAGCAGAAAAAATACAAATAAAAGCACATCACGGGGCGCCTGGGTGACTCAGTCGGTTAAGCGTCCAGCTTCGGCTCAGGTCGTGATCTCGTGGTTCGTGAATTCGAGCTCCGCGTCGGGCTCTGTGCTGACAGCTCAGAACCTAGAACCTGCTTCGGATTCTGTGTCTCCCTCTTTCTCCGCCCCTCCCCTGCCCACACTGTCTCTCTCTGTGTCTCAAAAATAAATAAATGTTAAAAAAACATTTTTTTTTAAAAAGCACATCACAACACATCACAATCAAGTTGCTGAAAACCAGTGATGAAAATGTTCTTAAAAGAAGCCAGAGAAAGACACATTATAAACAGGGCTCAAGGACAAGAATATCCACAGACTTCTTGTCAGGAACAATGCAAGCCAGAAGACAATGAAAATGCATGGTCACAGTGCTGGAAGGAAAAAAAGGTCAAAGTAGAATTCTATATCTAGAAAAACTAACCTACAAAAATGAAAGCAAACAAAGGCTTTTCCTCTAGGAGACCTATACCATAAGAGATGTTAAGGTAAGCTTTTCAGGCAGACGAAAGTGATACCAGTTCGAATCTGGATCTGTACAAAGGAATGAACATTGGAAGTGGACAATGTGTGTATAAAGAGAAAGTATGTGTTTGGCAACAGTTGCATAAGGGACCCAAAGAGTGAAATGGAAGTATATTATTGTAAGATTCTTGGGTTGTACAGTGCAAGATATATCACGATTCGAAAGTAGACCATGATGTTAAAGCTGAATATTGTGAACTCTATACCCTACTCCACCGAAAAATAAAGCAGGTAGATATTGATAATAAGCCAGTAGAGAGAAAAACACTCAATCCAACAGAAAGCAAATGAAAGACAGGGTGTGTGTGGAAATAATAGATAACCAAGTAAAAAACAAAATAGCAAGATGGCAAACTTAAATCCAACCATATCAGTAACTACATTAAATGGAAACATTTTAATTAAAAGTCAGAGATTGTCAGGCTGGATAAGAAAGCAAGACCCAATTAAACATTGCCCACAAGAGATCTAATTTACATATAACAAAGATTAACAGAAAGGAATGGAAAAAGATATACTATGCAAATAATAACAAGAAATCTGAAGTGGCTATATTAATATCAGACAAGGTGAACTTAAGGATAAAGAATATAACCAAAGAAAGAGAGGGACAATTCACAATGATAAAAGATCAATTCAATAAGACAGCATAACAATACTAAATGTTTATTCACAGAGCTTCAAAATACACAGAACAAAACTGAAAGACCTGAGAAAATATTTTAAAATCCACAGTTATGAGTGATTTTGAAAATAAACATAGTGCGGTTTTCTTTTTCAACAATTGGTGATGGGGAAACTGGATGGCCATATGCAAAAGAATGAAGTTGAACCTGACACCACATACAAAAATTAACTCAAAATGGATCAAAGACCTCCCAAAAAAATCAAAGACCTAAATATAAGAGTTAAAACTATAGAACTTTGAAGAATGCACAGAGACATGACATAAAATAGGCAATGATTTTATGGATATGATACCTAAAGCATAGGTGACCAAAGACAAAATAAAGAGGTCTACATCAAAATTTAAAACTTCTGTACATAGAAGGATACTATCAACAGAGCAAAAAGGCAACATACGAGGGGCACCTGGGTGGCTCAGTCGGTTGAGCGTCTGGCTTCCGCTCACGTCATGATCTTGTGGTTTGTGGGTTTGAGCTCCGCATTGGGTTCTGTGCTGACAGCTCAGAGCCTGGAGCTTGTTTCAGATTCTGTGTCTCCCTGTCTCTCTGCCCCTCCCCTGCTCATGCTCTGTCTCTCAAAAAAAATAAATATTTTAAAAAATGATAAAAAATAAAGGCAACATATGAAATGGGAGAAAATACTTGTAAATTATATATCTGATAAGGGGGTTGATAACCACGATATATAAAGAACTCTTACAACTCAACAGTAAAAAAACCCAACAACCTGATTAAAAATGAGCAAAGAGGGGCCTGGGTGACTCAGTCGGTTGAGCGTCCAACTTCAGGTCAGGTCATGAACTCGTGATTTGTGGGTTCGAGCCCCGCATCGGGCTCTGTGCTGACAGCTCAGAGCCTGGAGCCTGCTTTGGATTCGGTGTCACCCTCTCTCTCTACCCCTCCCCTGCTCACGCTCTGTCTCTCTCTCCTTCAAAGATAAACATTAAAAAAAGTAAAAAACGGAAAATAACCAATGTTGGTGAAGATGTGGACACATTGAAACCACTCTGCATTGCTGGTGGCAATGTTAAATAGTCCAACTGCTGTGGAAAACAATATGATGGCTCCTCCAGTAATTAAACATAGAATTACCCTATGACCCAGCCAGCAATGTCATTGTGGGGTACACACACACAAGAATGGAAAGCAGGGACTTGAACAGATATTTGTACACCCATGTTCATAGGAACGCTATTCACAATAGCTGAAACGTAGAAGCAGTCTAAGTGTCCATCTCTAGATATGGGTAAACAGAATGTAGTCAGCATGGTACATAGAATATTATTGAGCCTTAAGAAAGAGGGAAAGTCTGACAGGTGCTACAACATGAACAGACCTTGAAGATATCCCACTAAGTGACATAAAGCCAGTGGCAAAAATACAAATACTCTGCGACCCCTCTAACATGAGGTCCCTAGACTAATCAAATTCGTAGAAGCGGAATGTAGAATGGTGGTGTTCAGGGTGGGAGGGGGGGTAGGGGGGAGGGTGGATGGGAAGTTGCTATTTAATGGGTAGAAAGTTTCAGTTTGGGAAGATGAAAAGCTCTGGAGAGGGAGTGGGTGCCGGTTGCACAACATGGTGAATCTACTAATGTCCAGGGGAGTGTATGCTTTCCAATGTTTAAGATGGAAAATTGTTTACTGTGTATATTACTACAATAAACAAAGAGGAAGGGGGGGAGGGGAGAGTTAAAAGGTTTGAAAAGAGAACCTCCATATGTTTTTGACTTTTTTCTTTCTTTCCTTCCTTCCTTCCTTCCTCCTTCCTTCCTTCCTTCCTTCCTCCTTCCTTCCTTCCTTCCTTCCTTCTTCCTTCCTTCCTTCCTTCCTTCCTTCCTTCCTTCCTTCCTTCCTTCCTTCCTTCCTTCCTCCTTTCCTCCTTCCTTTTCCTGTTTTTCCACATCAGAGGGAAATTCATATATTGCAGCCTGGCCCGGGTCCCCCAACTCTGCTCTA